ACTTCATGACACACGAGTTTAAAAGATGGTGGTAAAATGGAGGATAATTTTGTTTAATTTCTTCATTTAATCTCTTGCAGACAATAAAAGAGAAATGTAAAACACATTTTTCAAACATTCAGCAACTATTTTTTAGTTTACTGCTGAATTGCAGAGCCAGGATTTTGAAATGTGTATTTGCCTGCAGAATTGCTTAAAGATGTAGTTTCACGTCTTTGCAATGCCATTGTGGATACAGCAGATTTTAAGTATTTTAGTAGAACGATACACATGTTCTAATGAACATGTAGCATGTCGTATTTATGCTTTGAAACAAGTGAATTGGAAACACACAGGTATAACAAAGGAAATCAATGAGATTTACATAGCTACTATTGGTCAATATTTTTGGGCTTGTTGCATGCCAAGGCCTCGTCTAAATACAGTTTACATTAGCTGAAGTCACTTAGATGATCCAGAAATGTATTTGGGCCATAACTTATAGAAATATTTTAAAATCAGTCAGTTTGAAAACAGATAGCATTACATATTATAAAGCACTAGGTATTGTTACCATTATGCATGCCACTGTATATATTATTAAGTAATAAAAGCTAATTACCCCTTTGGGTATGGAAATCCTTCCAACACTTTCTGATAGAAATTTCTTGTGATAACAAGCAATCAAAACCCAAAATGTCATATCCAGATTCACCTGAATTACTCCTAATTTAAAGCCTAGTGATTTTTATTAGTTAAGCACACAGGAGGGCAGAGAGATGGCAAGATAAAAATACTAGTTGCAGAGATTTTAAGAGGATTTGTGGACTTCCGAATGTTGGCCAGTGAATCTACTTCAGGCAAACTTGGCCTGTGCTAATGATGGGCTGAGTGTTTCAGGTCATACCACTTATTCTTTCTGGGCTAAATTTCAATGCAACAAAGAACAGCATGAACATGCTGACATTATAGTGAACTGTCGTGACAATTAGCAATACTTGTAAAATAGCCATTTCTTTAAGAAATTTCACAGTTATTTAATTAATATGCTTGGATTTCAACACTCAAGATGATACATTTGCAATTAAAGTTCAATGTACGAGGTGTACCTTCTCTCTTATTTTGTCACAAGGACAGCGTCTTGCATTTCAATCATAAACCTTTAACTTTTTAAATTACACAGCGTTCACGAATTGAACAGTTCAGTGACTGTAATAGGATGCAGTCTTTCACATTTTAGTGTTTTAGGACCCTCATAACAACAAAAAGCTAATATTACCTAATATTAGCTAAAAGCTAATATTATCAACACAGTTCTGATCTCAGGGCAGCTCATTCATAACAACAAAAAGCTAATATTACCTGTGATTAGCTAAAAGCTAATATTATCTCTGTTCTGATCTCAGGGGAGCTCACGCAGTTCCATAACACCAAAAAGACTAGCAGGATGCTGGACTTCCTTAGCATGTGCCCGAAGAAGAAATTGGCCTCCATCCCAAATATATTCCACGATTTATGCCTTCAATAAACGCACTATCAATCAGGGAGGTGTGGGAACCTTTAGAGTTTTGGTTGTCACTGTTTATGTGGTTTGGTGTCTCGAGCCATCAATTCATCAACTTCAGGTATTTATGATAATCACAATAAATTTTACAAGGCAGAGAGAAGAAAAACTACTTAGTTAAGAGAAAGAGTAGGTGCCGAAAGCAAACAATATGAAATGCCCATTCCCTGGAAGCACAGCACTGGGCAAGGAGCTTCGTTTAGGCACTATAATTGTTAAGACTCACTTCATGGGATCACTGCTTCATAGAAATACTAAAGAATAAACAAATGCCTCCTGCATACTACATATATAAGGAATGCATATATTGCTTGGCTTTCTATCCATTTTAATCGAATAAAAAGGTAATGGTAGTATGAAATCTAACAGTTATCACAGAGGATACCTACTCTCTTCTACTTTGCTACAATAACCATCTGAAATTCCACCATACATTTCTAAATCAGAAAAAAAAAATCCCACATGCAGATTTTTTCGCACTGTAGAGTTGGGTGCTTGCGGCATTGGCTGAGACCCACATTTAGGTAACTGACTCTGAACATTTTCTTTTAGATTCATTCATTTTCCCTCATGGAATCCAGAGCAGAAACTTGGGTCATGATCTCCAGAAGTTCAGGGCACTCCTGCCCAAAGCAGGGTCTATAGTGACAACCGAATACGTGAAAGGATAATTGCTATTTCAACATGTTTTTGGATTTGTAGAAGCAGCTGAAATATTTTGTTTTGATTAAACAGAGACACAAAAACAAAAAGCCAATTTCATTCATAGCAAACTGTCACTGCAAAATTTATTAAGCACAACCACATTAGCAAAGGATTTTTGTTTATACAATTGATACATCAAACCCATAAAAGAATGAAAATCAAATCAAGACAAAAACCCACTCATATTAACTAATGCCTTCCATGGGAAGAATTGAAAATGTTTATCAGCTACAATTTGAAGTTTGTGTGGGTATTGCTACTTGTTTTAGTGAGTGATAAACCATAACACTGAGGATATTAACAGCACACACACAAACTCAGCTGCCACTTACAAGAAGCCTTCAAAAGGCTGACATGATCTTCAGAGGTGTTAGCGCTTGTGAGGCCAAGGAGGACTACAGAAGTACAAAACTTTTGAAATCAGGAATTTTGATTACAGATAAGAAATTCAGGCACCTCAGGTATAATTTCCTGAAATTACATCACCATTTCAAATGGGGGACAGCAGCTGTGGCACCTCGTGGCTTGCTCTTAGTATATAATGACACTTTACTAAGGAAAACAAAAAGGTTGCTCTGGTGATCGAGTCAACGGCTGCCAAAGGGTCACCTCCACTTAGGAGTGGGAAGTGTTTTGGAAAGCATTCCCTCTTGTGGAATAATCTGTTCTTAATCATTGGAGGTGTACAAATGGTTAACAAAATAAACGCCACCAGAAAGCATGTAAGAGCTGGATTCCACACCAGTTACATAACCCACACGTCACAACGAGCTCCAGAGATCGAATCAGCTGGCACAAGCAGGAAGCCATCTATTACTTTTTTATAGCCAATCCCTTACACTGACCCGTGTTAAGCAAAGAAGTATCCAAGCACAATTCTAAAACTCCCATGTAGATCCATGCAGGACACTCATCCTAGATCCATATCAACACCACCAGGATGTGGGAAGATGATTTCAAAACTCAGGGTTGGAAAGAAAAAGAATGAGGAAGGTCTATTTTAAATAGACTGGTTTTGATTCCTTCAAAAACCTCTGAAAAGCGAATGCTGTTTTTCTGTCAAAAGCAACACTTATATTGATATATTTCAGTTCATCCCATATATTAGTTTATTATTTGTCTGCTGTGTTGGCAGAGGAAAAGCCATTATCTGTCAGGTGAAACCTAGTAAATTTTTCAAAGATAACATAATGATGCACTTAATGGTAATCTACAGTCTACCCTTGACACAGAGTGCCACATTAATCACAGTTTCTTTTACTCAGTATGTAGAAACCTGCAGGCAAAACAACTAGGGTCATGCAAGTATACCCTGGTTTATTAACACAGCTGTGCTGAGAAGTTTTCCAAGAAAACGCACATGACAAAACACACAGCATTTGCTTATGCTTTCCTCTCACCAAAGCAAGACTTCCTAGACTTGCCGTTTGTTTGCTTTGTCACTATGCTAAACACACTCCAAAATTCAGGGGTTTTTTTGTCTGTACACAGTAACTATCAATAATGAAGCATATTTTAAAGTCTATGTTTTTCTCCTCAGCTGTACATTGCGAGAACTTATTTTGTTTGCTCTATTGCTAGTTGCCTACCACAACTCAATATGCAAAACTGGAAGATTTTGTAACAGGAAAAGAACTAAAGAATGAACCTTAAGTTACAAAAAAATCCTATACTGCTAGTGTGCAGGAATATCATAGGATGTGTGCACTTTTTTTTTTTTTTTCTCATATGGATCTTCTGTGACCCTGAATGAGTGTT